CATATAGAGTACAGTACATTTACCATGAGATATGTCAACATTGATCCTCTGTTTCCGATAGAACATGTGCAAACCTCCAAATTTAAACGTTTATTTACATTTATTTTATGTGCCATTTTTAAACTTTTATATGCATTTCTGTGCCAATGGCATCACCAAATGGTATTGCAAAAATAATCTGTTACTTTCCCGCCTCTGTTTGCCTTCGGTTGTTTAAACAGATAACCTCACACCTCGGGTGGAGTCAATGTACTAAAAAAATGGCTTATTGTCATCACTGCATATTAAAGGTGCAGTATGTAATATTGACAGCTAGTGGTTGAAATGGATACTGCAGTTCAAATTCAAAATATTGGAGAGAAAACAAAATACTGTTTCCCCCGCCCCCTCCTCCTCAGACTCAACGCTCACCCGGGTTGCCAGATTGAGAACACGCAAAAGGAGCAAGTGCAATTGACAATAAAAGCCGAGGAGACTTGCATCGTAAGTTGATGAGTTGATTTATCCGTGTTTTAATATGCCTCTGGTCATTGAGCTTTTTGGATGGATGACGAGGCTTTTTAGTTGGGTAGAATCTGCAATCTCTGACCTAGTTTGTTTGCTGGCTTCCCTGGCTACAATACACTGTGTTTTCCGCCAACTGGCTTACCCGGGGTGTCGAAATACTGTTGGGTAAATTGGCAGTGGGCAGAATCACACAGACCAAAACAAATACAAACATTCTGACAAGGAACACACATTTCAAAGTAGCATAACTGGTTGTAGCATTGTTTTTTAGCATTTTTCCTAAACATATGAAAACATATTATTGTATGTTTATGCTTTAGTATACAGCACCTTTAAATTAAATATAGGACAAAAGTATTTAACAAAAATGTAGTATGTAAAGGTAAAGTACATCACCTTTCAATATATACTGTATACAACTTAAAATTTACATATATAAAATAAAAATATTAAAATGTTTAAGAAAAATAAGTAAACCTTTTTCTGAGCCTTAAATTTGTAAATAATCCATTTAAAGGTGGAAGTTTGCAGATGTTCTCAGACACTGAGGACTAATGTTGATGTATCTCATTGTAAACAGCTTAATATCCAACCGAGTTTCTAATCAAGTCTAATGAGCTCACACTTAAACTCATAATTTGGTTAATAACGCCATCTTTCCATTCCACTGCATTTTACAATTTATGCGTAATTTGGTTTGCTTCTGGTTGATTGTGGTGGAACATTTAAATCCAAGAGTCAGAGCAGATCATGCATAGAGCAATCAAATCATAAATGCCATTGAATAGCTTGTGCTGGATTTTCATATTAGGTGATTTATTGGGAGGTTTCCATTCAATTTGCTTTCCGCATAGACTCGTGCTTTGAATGAGGGCGGTGTTTTGATATGTTACAATTCTTTCGGTAGGCCAACCATCTTTCTGCACCTTTCGATTTGGAAGCACATCAGCAATCGTCCTGTAAATGTTCATTTCCAGTGTTCGATTGTACCATGAAGGTGAAGCTTTCCAGTTCAGCGCTTTCTCTGTCGCTGTCCTTCAATAGCCCACCGATGTAAAGAAGATCACCGAAGCGTTGACGTTCGCTTTCCTACATCCATTTTACACCCAGCCCACACTCACCGTCGCCCTTTAAGGCATTTATACAAATATCAAGATTACCGTAACAATAATCTCCTAGACAGCATGTGCCGGTCTCCCGAATTAGCATGTGGAGTTAATGGTAACGCTCACCTTGAAATGTCATCCCGACAAGAGCGCAACATGACCGCCCCTGCTGCTCCTGCCCAAGGGGCCTCTTCATAACCCCCTACCACGTGGGTTTGTTAAAAGAGTGCTTCCTGCGTGTTTTTCCTCTGAAACGGTTTTCCTGAAGAATTCAGGTGACCGCAGGGGTTCACACACCGGGTGCTGTTGCCGTTCTCAGCGTTGTTTAGCCACAGCCGGATTGAAAGCCTCTTCTCAGATGTGCCGCTGGTGAGTTTATATCCCACGGTGTGGTTTCACTGCCGTTAATTTGTTACATTTGCCAGAGCCACACAATGCAGGGGCCAGGCAAAGGAATTATGAATATTAAAATAGGAATGTGTGTCTGCAGTGCTTCAATATTAAATCATAAGGGAAGGACTGTCGCAGGCCTTATTAAAAGATAATGTGTGCTGGGGGAGAGGAAACATATCACTTCTCTGCTGGTGGATATCGCTACTTTAAGCTCTATGTTGTGCATGTCTATGGACAAACACTCTGATGAGTTAAGTTTGTGTGCATTAAGAAAGAAAATGAAAAACTGACATAAAAAGAAGAGCAGGGTTAAATAGTAAGGGGATTGAGGAGGAATATAAAGCATGAACTGAAGGAAGTAAAAACAAAAGATGAGTTGGAAAGTACGTATCCAAACAGTTTTAATTGTACATATGTATATGTAACATTTCCTCATATTTTTGTTTTGACCCCAGTGGAATAAAAATGCCTTTTTATAATTACGTTTACATGACATGAGGGGGGGGGGGGGTGTATCTTAAAATTATACCTTCACTTTATCATAAATATGATTTATTACAAGTGTATATACACCCTGTAAAATTACTTTTTAAAAGAAAGTCATTGACTAATGAGATGAACTACGTAACTCTCTAACTGTAGAAATTATCCTTAATATAGTTAGGGTAACACTTTACAATAAGGTTTCAATGTATTAACTAACATGAACTAACTATGAGCAATACATGTGTTACTATATTTGTTAACCTTTGTTAACGTTAGTTAATAAAAAATACAATCGTTCATTGTTCTCCCATGTTACTTCACAGTGCGGTAACACTTTATTTTAAGGTGCTTGTAATAAGCAGTAATTAACAGTTAATAAGACACTTATAAGACCTTATAAGATGCATATAAGCATTAACTACTTCATATAAGGGTTAATTAAAGGTCCAGGCCCTGAAGAGATCAGGGAAACTACTCCCTCTTGGGAAGGTCAATTTTTAAGGGACTGGGAGTTTGTGTTACCATTTATGTTTGTTCGGCTGTTCTAAAAGTGCAATGTATTGATACTTGAGAAATGTATTATTTAATTTAATTTATTTATTATAATTAGTTAATGCTTATATGCATCTTATATGTATCTTATAAGGTCTTATAAGTGTCTTATTAACTGTTAATTGCTGCTTATTACAAGCACCTTAAAATAAAGTGTTACCCACAGTGCATTAACTAATGTTAAGAAATACAACTTTAGATTTTTTAATTATGTATTAGTAAATTATGAAATTAACATCAACAAAGATTAATAAATGCGTGCAGATCATTATTAGTTAACTAATGAAGTTAATTAATGTTAACTAATGAAACCTTATTGTAATAGCATAGTTAGAGATTACCAGGCCTCTCACAGTGTCAATGGACTCGCCCTAGGACAGCACTCCGCATGGCAACCCCACTGCGCTGTGCGTTGATAAAAATAGAGCGAGGACAGAGAAGGGCTAATTATCACAACACCAAGAGATGTTCTTGAGATTCACAGTCTAATGTTCAGGGACAAAAGTGTCTGAACACATACCAGAACAGAGATTTAGAATGGCAATGCCAAGCATTTGTTTTGTTACTTTTCTCCTAGTAAGACAGGTGTTAGCGATTTCTGTTTTGGTGAGACAACTCTACCATTTTGGTAGAAAAAGGGTAAAAAGCTGAGTCCATTTGAGAGCCGAACGCTGAAGTCACACGCACCTGTGGTGAAATACTTTTTGGGACTTAAGTTTGATTTATTGATGTCATAAAAATTGAGAGACTTTAATACCACAGCCTTTCACTGTTGGAAATTCAGAAACATGTGCTGTCAGATACGAGTAGCCACTCCACATTTCATATTTCAGCGAGCCGCTAAAAGGTTGATAGAGATCTGCACATATTTTGTGTTTTTATTGTGATTGATTGTCATGGGGAAGTCAGATGCAGCTTGTAGGTTTTATATTCCTCTTGTAAACACAACAAAGAGAAGAAATGCTATTATTGAGAGAGAGAGAGAGACTGTGAGATGTCAATCAGAGGGATGGAGTCGACGCGCCCTTCCGATGTCGATCCGAGGTGGGATTCTCCATTACTGAAATGGACTGTTTGAATGGCTCTCTGGCCCTGAGTTTATCCTGGCTTTGTGCGGCTGATACAGTAATTGCATGCAGTGATTAGGAAGCTCCCGCAGCACAAAGCACAGCCCGGATTAAACGCACACGCTGGGGCAGATGCAACGCATGCTGTCAATTATAATATACCACTCCAAATGGCACTAAGCGGGGAAATAATAAAGAACCACAGCTCACATAGAGAAAGGAGACGGGCCCATCTTTTAAATTAACAATACGCTCGAGGTTCGAGAGCTTTTTCTGGTCGGGATGAAATTAACTCGCCCACAATTTGAACAGCAGGTCTTGTCTTCTACAATTACACTACACTACAATTTACACTACACCCTTTTAAAAGAAGGTTCTTTATTTAGCATTGATGGTTTTTAACCTTTAACATGCATGGAAACTGTTCGATGAACAAGAAATTCTATTATAGTGGAAAAATGTTCTTTATATTATTAAAAATGTTCTTCACACTAAGGAACGACTCATCACTTCTGGGAAGACGTTCCACTGGGAGATTTGTTCCTGGAGCATCAGTGACCCCGTTGAAAGGACTTTTGACCATGTAGTGTATTTTTGTTAGTTACGAGCAGCTGATGACAGACTGGAAAACACTGTGTGTTTGTTATGGCTCATGTCTTCCTCTTTGCTTTCATTCTGTGCATGCAAAAAACCCTGTCCAACCCCCATATGGCTCGATCTGTCGGTTCAGAGACTTTAAACTCCTTGAGCAGACAGGAGAGGGCTGAAGCTTTAGTCCAAACTATCTGTTGTCAACCTTCTGATATTTTGAAAGTTAAAAGTATGAATAAATGAGAAAGGTTACCAACAATATTTTCTCCTCCTCTCTCTCTCTCTCTCTCTCTTACAGATCCTAACGCCCAGAAAAACGTGCCAGACCACGCTCTAATCGGAGGAGTAGTCGCTGTTGTCGTTTTCGCAACTTTGTGCTTAATTATTGTATTGGGACGCTACCTGGCACGGCATAAAGGTACGATTTTCCTTTACTGTCTGTAAAATATAGATACAGTGATACTCAAAAATGCATCATCTACAGTGGGCTTCAAATTTCTGAGACCACCTGTTATTCAAAACCTGCAAATAAACAGTTTTAGTCATTTGAATCATTTAAATCATTTCAAATAAAGGAAATGTAAAATTAAAGGGTTAGTTCACCCAAAAATTAAAATGATCCCATAATTGACTCACCCTCAAGCCTTCCTATGTGTATATGACTTTCTTCTTTCAGCCAAACACTCAGGTCATTTCTGACCGGAAAATCTTCTGTTTTGAATTTTTAAAAATCACAGCTTCATCGGAATGGTACGGAACTTGGTGACTTTTGTGGCATTTGGAATGTGAACACACACAAAAATTGAGGGCATGATTCGAGCAGGCTAAGTGATCGTATAAAAAAAAAAATAGTCCAGCTTTTGCTCTTCGGTAAAAAATGACCGACCAGGAAATAAATGGGAAATTGACAAAAACAATAAAATTCTGAGAATTTTTGTGTGTAAAATCTACAAATCGGCCTCGATGCAGGAAAGAAAGTGTTCAGCAATGAAGGGGTGAAACTCAAAAACATCAAGAGTGCAAAACAGACTAAAAGTATTATTTGAGAATATCAAAAAAAAAAAAAAATACATTCAAATCCACATCTTAAAAGGAAGTAATTTTGTCCAAAAACAACTAGAGAATTCACAAGCCTCTCCATTGAGAGCTATACAGGCATGGAGGAAGTTTAATTTTTAGGTGTCTGGTCACTTCTGACCGGGAAGATAACAAGTGCTACACGAAAATGAGGAGCAATAATAACCTGACTCTCCCAAGCTTTATAATAGGAATGAATAGTACTTGAGATTTTGAAGCCCAAAAAAGTGCATCCATCCATCATAAAAGTAGTCCATACAGCTCCAGGGGGTTAATAAAGGCCTTCTGAAGCGAAGCAATGTATTTTGTAAGAAAAATTTCCATTTTTATAACTGTACAATCTAGAATCTGGCTTCTGTACGCGAGTCAAGTTTCGGCCGAAGATCGAACACTGAGCCGACGCATGAAGTATTGATGAACACGGAAGCGCAGAGGATAGCAAGCAAAACAGAACACCGGTCACGAATTAAAAGTCTAAAATGAGAATTTTTAAAGAGAAATGTCAGAGAAGCTTGAGTTTGTTGCCCAGCCATATTTGTTTGATCCCTGGGGGGCGTCTACTCTCAGCTAAGCTTACGCTACTCCTACATCCTACAGTGCATCCGGAAAGTATTCACAGCGCTTCACTTTTTCCACATTTTCTTATGTTACGGCCTTATTCCAAAATGGATTAAATTCTTTATTTTCCTCACAATTCTACAAAGAATACCCCATAATGACAACGTGAAAGAAGTTTGTTTAAAATCTTTGCAAATTTATTAAAAATGAAAAAAAAAATCTCATGTAGCCTACATGTATTCACAGCCTTTGCTCAATACTTTGTTGAAGCACATTTGGCACCATTTACAGCCTCAAGTCTTTTTGAGTATGAGCTTGGCACACCCATTTTTGGTCAGTTTCTCACATTCTTCTTTGCAGAACCTCTCAAGCTCCATCAGGTTGGATGGGGAGCGTCGGTGCACAGCCATTTTCAGATCTCTCCAGAGATGTTCAATCGGTTTCAAGTCTGGGCTCTGGCTGGGCCACTCAAGGACATTCACAGAGTTGTCCCGTAGCCACTCCTTTGTTATCTTGGCTGTGTGCTTAGGGTCGTTGTCCTGTTGGAAGATGAACCGTCGCCCCAGTCTGAGGTCTAGAGCGCTCTGGAGCAGGTTTTCATCAAGGATGTCTCTGTACATTGTTGCATTCATCTTTCCCTCGATCCTGACTAGTCTCCCAGTTCCTGCCGCTGAAAAACATCCCCACAGCATGATGCTGCGACCACCATGCTTCACTGTAGGGATGGTACTGGCCAGGTGATGAGTGGTGCCTGATTTCCTCCAGACATGACGGTTCCAACTTTGTTTCATCAGACCAGAGAATTTTGTTTCTCATGGTCTGAGAGTCCTTCAGGAGCCTTTTGGCAAACTCCAGGCGGGCTGGCATGTGCCTTTTACTGAGGAATGGCTTCTGTCTGGCCACTCTACCACACAGGCCTGATTGGGGGAGTGCTGCAGAGATGGATGTTCTTCTGGAAGGTTCTCCTCTCTCCACAGAGAAACACTGGAGCTCTGTCAGAGTGACCATCGGGTTCTTGGTCACCTCCCCGACTAAGGCCCTTCTCCCCCGATTGCTCAGTTTGGCCGGACGGCCAGCTTTAAGAAGAGTCCTGGTAGTTCCAAACTTCTTCCATTTACGGATGATGGAAGCCACTTTGCTCATTGGGACCTTTAATGCTGCAGAAATATTTCTGTACCCATCCCCAGATATGTGGGGCTGCAGACAATTCCTTGGACTTCATGGCTTGGTTTGTGCTCTGACATGCACTTCTTCTTCTTCTTCTTCTTCTTCTTCTTCTTCTTCTTCTTCTTCTTTCAAGTTTAATGGCGGTTGGCAAACCAAACTATAATGGTGCATTCCCACCACCTAGTGGATTGGAGTGTGGATAACGTAATGGTATAAGTGACCTAAATCCTGTTACTTAAATGAGTGTCTTTTAAAAAATTAAATACTTCTTCATATATTTTAAATTGCTTTGGGCCATTACCTAATAACGCTTGGATAGAAAAAGCTTCCATTTCCATTTCTCTTAATGCTTGGAATCATTTAAATCTTTCTCTTGCATAAGCTCTGACATGCACTGTTAACAGTGGGACCTTATATAGACGGGTGTGTGCCTTTCCAATTCATGTTCAATCAACTGAATTTGCCACAGGTGAACTCCAATCCAGTAGTAGAAACATCTCAAGGATGATCAGTGGAAACAGGATGCACCTGAGCTCAATTTTGAGTGGCACGGCAAAGGCTGTGAATACATGTACATGTGATTTTTTCGTTTCTTATTTTTAATAAATTTGCAAAGATTTCAAACAAACTTCTTTCACGTTGTCATTATGGGGTATTGTTTGTAGAATTGTGAGGAGAATAAAGAATTTAATCCATTTTGGAATAAGGCTGTAACATAAGAAAATGTGGAAAAAGTGAAGCGCTGTGAATACTTTCCGGATGCACTGTACATCATGCGACGCAAGGAGGGACGTTACTGGAACCTAGTGATTACAGTTTATAAAGTTATAATTAAGGATATTTTTCTTACAAAAACGCATTACTTGTGTGTATGTATGTATGTATATATACCCTACACTAAAGTAATGTCCTCTGAAAATTCAGCTTATTATTTTTTCAATTTTTACTTTAGCTTATTGTTTTCAATATTATTTTAAAATTATATTTCACAATAATATCTTAATTGACTTTTTACCAGTAGTACATAAAAAGTATTAGCATTGTCAAGTATAGTGAGGTTCAAGTTACTTGAAAGATCACTTCCTAAAATAGTAATAGTTTTTTTCTGACACTTTATTTTACAGTCCTTGTTACAGTACATGTAGCTAATGTAGTAATAAATATAAATTATGCATAATGACAAGCAACTAACCCTATAGTAAGTACACATACAGTAGGTCATTATTATTACTCACATAAATATACACTTTAACACGGACACCTTCAAATAAAGTGTAACCTATTTTTCCTACATAAACTTGCCATTTTGAAGTTTCCATTTAGAAGTTTTTGAAAATCACATTGTTTTTTAAATCAAGAAATTGTGTGTGTGTTTCAGGCACATATTTGACAAACGAGGCCAAAGGAGCGGATGACGCCCCGGACGCAGACACAGCCATCATCAATGCCGACGGCAACCACGCACATGCAGAAGAAAAGAAAGAGTATTTCATTTAGACTGCAAGTGGCATTGCGCTCCTCTCTCTCCTCTCATTCCTTCCCTCCTTCCCTGCACAGTGTAGGAACTTCTTCAGACAGCAGCGGAAGCTTCTTCTCACACTTCTTTTCCTTTCTGTTTGTTGTTGTTGTTTTTTTCATTTTTTTTTTTCATTTCAGTTTGGTTTTCTTTCGCCTTTTTCAATAACAGCTCACCTGCTACTTTTTTACGAGCAACTTATTTGCTGAAGATGTCACCTTTTGTAACCATTATATAGCTGTAAAACACGCCCAAAGTAGTCCAAAAATGTCTAAATCTCCAAATATGAAAAAAAGAAAAGAAAATTGTCTGCAGCCATCTTTCAGTAAGGACTCACCCTTCATCTTCTCACAGTGCCTAAATATACAGATGTCCGCTGAATTTCAGTCAATGCCTTCGTTTGTCAGGCTTCTGATTGGTTGCTTGCTTTTATCTTCAGCGTTATGATTTTTAAAAATGTTTTGTGGTCTGTTACTGTTTTAATTCATTTCTACTTTTGTTTTGGTTGTGATTCATGCTGAATCCATTTATTGTGCTGTTTCTCCCAAAAAAAAAAAGATGTACAGTAGTAAAAAATATACTCAGACTTGAAGTGAGGGAGGTTCCCTTTTTATTCTACAGATTTTTAGGTGTTAATAATGTTATCGGTACGTAGAGACGCTCCATTCTCCAAAAGACCATTACATGATGTGAAACTGACAGCTCACACTATGGCTAAAATCAGTATTTTGTACTTGAACTGTAGATATTGGTACGTAAATGAATAGCTCCACAGAAGGTCTCAGTGTGTTCCACCGAAAATCACCTTGTGTTTTTAAAAATTAGGATAAGCAGTTAGGTTAACCAGCTCTGGTTACCAAATAAACCATAGCGGGTTAGTGATATAGCAACCAGGCAAAGAAAGAAAGTATTTGTGTAGTATGATGATGCATCTCCACTGCTTGGTTCTTATGACACTTGCTTCTGTATTCCTGCACTGATCAGTTCCTGCACAACAGATCCACGGTCCAGGCGGGAAACATCCGTACGTCATCCTTCAGCTGTTTACACAACCGTTGTGCCGAACACAAGATATCTCACAAAACAAAAAGTGATACTTTAAAAGGATCAAAAATAAGTAGTGCGCTACTATTTCAGTGCTCTTAAACCTTCATGTCATTGGTCAGATCAATAGGCCCATTACAGATCCCAAAAAAACATTGTATGCAAACCTGAACATTACACATACGTTATAACAATGCTAAGAGAACGTTGCCGATTTGCAACTTTCATAAAGTGTCACCCACCTGCTCATTCCACAGTGTGAGGTTTAGGCCAAACAAATAAATAAGCACAAAACAACTTATGAGTGAGGTCTAATGCAGCGATCATGACGTAAAAATAACTAACTTTGATTTTCATTACCCAGACTGGACATCAGTACACTAAAGTCATGGATTATGTTGATGGTTGGAAGTGTTTTTGAAACAACAGTATCTTTTTTTCCGTTCTTTTGTTGATTTCTACGATGAATAGACAACCTTGCTAAGGCTGTATAATATATCTGCTAAATGTGGTAACTAGTGAAAATTGTTGTTAGACTTTGGGATCCCTAATTCCATCAAGTTTGTATATTAGCTGATCTAAATATTGGTGGGGAAAAAAACTCTTCTTTTTTTCAGCTTATTTGTTATTAAAAGATTATTCACAACTTCACAACCTTTGCTATAGCTCAAGGCATGTATATACTGTATAAGTATCACGTTTTGGGGAAACATTTTTGAAAGATCTTTTTTTTTTTTTTGACTGTAAATTATTTAATTTTGCTTAATTGAAAACCACTCAATGAGTATGACGGCAATTGTGGGTATGACAGCAATGGGATACTTGTTAAAATGGCAAAGCTATGTATTTGTCGAATGAAAACACTTTTACCTGATGTTCGTTTCCTGTAAATGATGACGATTATTGTTCATACTTGTCTCCGTTCTCACATAGGAAAGATATCAGTGAAGCTTATAAAACCAATAGATGGTCAAGCTTTACATGTTTGATCGTAATATCTCGAAAACATCTTTTCATTTTAGTCCTAATGCACCACAATGACACATATCACTTCCATATACACGTATGTAACTCAAATGTAATTGTAATGTCACATGTATCCCTAATATGTGTGAATATATTAATGGCTAGGAATATGATATCCTTTGACAGAGCCAACAGTCAGATTGCATACGACTTAAGGCCAAACCGTTTATCAGTGCACAGTGCACACAGAATCAATTTAAGCCTTATGAAATGAAACGTGCTGACATGCTACTCAAGCCACCCACGATTACCTTTCATTTATTTCTCTTCTCTTGCTACTTTCTGTCTCTGTGGATTGGCTCAATGCCGTCTGTCTGGCAAAGAAACCGCTAACAATGTTTGGTACTTGTCTGTCTGATCGTGATACTGACCTAATGCTGCCTTTGTGGTCAGTAAATCACATGCTATTGTCAAGAAAATATATTCACTTGCTCAGATTTTGACCCGTTACAGAACATACTCAACCTTTCTAAGAACTAATAAATCAGCTTCTTTTATCACCATAATTGCCTTTGTGTTTGTAGTGGGAGCTGTTGTTTTGTCACTTCAGCTCTTGCGGGTCTCATTAAAGACTTGTTTCTTTTCCTTCAAACTTGCCTTTGTACATTTTGCATGTTACATGGTCACCTCATATTCACATTTTAATGCACCAGAATGCATTTCCAGTTTGATGTTTTTTGTTCAGCTAGTGATTGCAGTGGAATGGTTCATAGCTAAAACGATGGCCTAAAACTTTTGGATAACACCTGGGATTTATTCAGTATATCAGTGACAATTTGCCATTTTAGTCACAGTTTATTTACTGTAGTTGGTGTGGAAGGACTATTAAAACACAGACTGTTCTGTTCCAAAGCCTTTAGTAGTTAACATGCTCCCAATGCAAAATAAACGTAATATTGTGTTTATTGGTGAAAAGTATTGAGATTAATTACAAAATTGTTATTTTATAAAACATTTGTTTGCTTTGCTAAATTGTTCACTTATGAGGTTCCATTACAGTTAGGATGCTGCCTATGTAGGCAGCTCACTAGGTTTTGGAACAGAGCTCATGCCTTCTTTTTGGAGTCTGCAATTGACAACAATTCATGCACAGCTGTTATGTCACTGAACATTATGATCAGGAAAAAAAGGTTCCATATGTTCACATAAAATGCAACTGGTTTGTTTCTCCTCCTGACAGACTATAAAAATACAGACTATACCAATTAGCACGCAGATTTTAATCTATCAAAAGGCAGAATAACTAAATTTTACCTAAGAAAGAACAATCTACAATACAGCATTTATGGTCACAGTGATATGTGGAAATAGTAAAATGCACTCACTGTCATCGACCTTCTTATTTTAATTACTAAAAAGGTTTAGGTTCAGTATATTTCACACACTGAAATTAAAAAATTTGTGCATCTAGGCTCTTTTAACAAACCCCAAGCTTTTATGAGAAACAACAGTAACACTGTAAATCAAAACCTGTTAGTTTGTCACCCAATTACATCATTTTAATAATTTGCATTCTTTTTTTGCATCTCAGGTATGAATCAAGTGTTTGTTTTTCCTTTCTAATATCATACAGGTAGCTCATACCAATGTATTTTTTATTTGCTTAATCATACTGCATTTACAACAAATACTGTTTATTTGATGCTCTTACTTTTTTCATGTGTATATATGCTTGTTGCTTCACATATCTCCAATTCATGACACACAAGCTGTATATTGTTTAAACAAGCTGTCCAGTTGCTGTAATGAAATTTAGACCAGAAAAAGATGCACACCAGTTTAGCTAGTAATGTGTTACACTAAGAGGGCTGTTGTCATAGTAAGGACACACTATATGTAGGTCAAGATCAAATAGTTTGAAGGAAACGGTGTTTTCACAGTTTTTCACATGACCTTGCTAGATTTAGCACCTGCACCGACGACACCACGATGCTGTTCCAGAAACGTCTGTAGTTGGATTGTAAAAAAAAATAAACAGACAAACGCTATTTAAATTTCACCACGTTCCTCTCACGTTGCAAAACAATTGTGCGTGCCAGTGAAGCAGATGTAGTGGGTAGCATACTGTGCACTGGTAGATCGAGTACCTGGTTTCTAAGCCAATCGGCCTCTCTAGCTCTTGAAATGATAGTGACTTCAGAACACGAAGGGTTTGTGCTTCTTGTAGCAAGCTGAAATGAAAACGCCTCATTTGGTTTCTTTTCTTTTTTTTTAAATGTGTTCCTTGGTGTATTCATTTGATTCGAAATTCGATTTTAAGCCTAATTCACATGTATGGAATGAAATTGTTAAATAAATAAATGCCAAAATGTCCTGTCTGTTCTTCTTACTGTCTAAATACAACACAATTAATGTGGATTTTCTCCATTCATTTCTTAATGTCTGTCCATATATCTGCAAAACCAACTCCAGAGACATCCAGAACATCTTATCACAAGCATCTATTCACAACACCCTAATGACCAGCCTAGCAACACCCTAGCAACAAGCCACCACACAGAACTGCATCCACTCAGAACACCCTAGCAACAGACAAGGAACACCATAACAACAAGCAGCCACTTAGACCTGCCTAGCAACACCCTAACAACCACCCTGAATGGCTAAAGTTTTCTAGACAAATGTCATTTTTCTAGCTGTCTTTGCTTTTAAGCTTTTAGGCCAGTTCACGTTAGGAACGAATGACTATAATGATACGGATAGTTCTAAATATAAAAGAAGAGTCCTCATCACAACTAAAACAGACCAGAGAAATATTGTTGGAATCACTTTCAGATTTTTTTTTTTTTTTTTTTTTTTTTTTTTTGGAGAACAATAAAAAAACATTTACAGCCAATCAGAAACCATCCTGCTTTAAAGAGCTTGAGTATTTAAAGTGGCAGGCAACAAAACTAAACTGCAGTGTGAATAAATAATGATATCGACCGCTGGTGTGGACGCTAATATAGTTATCTTTATCTGTATAGTTATCGTTCTTGGTGTGAACGGGACTTAAACATGTTGTTTTTGCATGCTCACTGCATAGGTTTGTCTGAGCTGCAGGATGTTCTGGAAAGTAATAGAACGCAGACATGGCTGCTATCATGGAGACAGATACAAACTATGAGAGATAAAGACTGCACCAGACCCCTGAGGGGAAGAGAGACAGCAGCCCTCAGGGCAGGAAACCGTGATCATTGTGAAATCACCACAGGGGACGTGTCTACACTCCTACACACACACACACACACACACCGAGGTCAACCCACCACAAAAACCATCTCCGTCTTTTCAAAACTGCCTCATAGCTCAGGTCTATTATGACTAGGAAGATCAAGACTACACACAACAGCCAAACAAATAGTTTTAGCTGAGTAAAGAAACAATTGCTATAATAGTTTTTATCATGAGACGTATTTTGAAATTCAGAACAACCACAAAGTGACGTCATACACCATTATGAATTACGTAAATAAAATACAGCATTGTTATTTTTAGTATTAAATATATACTACATTATAGTATTTATTAATATTTCAAAATAGCTTTTATTTTTCGATTTTCAGATTTCATTTTAATTTTAGTTTAAGAACTTGTCATTTTATTCGTTTTTTTTATTTATTGTTTCTACATATCACGTTTCACAGATGAGGCTCAAGCCTAGTCTCAGACTAAAATGCATGTTTGAGCTAAAAGCAACTTTCACTGACATATCTTAAAATATGTCAATGCCATTGTTTTGTGTCAGGATGCACACCAGTAGTTACCTAAATTATCTAATTAAACTAAGGCCTATCTCTGAAACCAGGCATTGGTACTTTAAAATTTCAAATTTTTTGAATATTTTCATTTTATTATT